AGTGAATCTTACCCGGCATGCTTGTTCCAGTAACTTTTTTCAATGATCAGTCTGGTTTTCTTAAAACCAACATTGTTCCTGTGCTGATAGACCCAACAAACAACCATTCAGTAAAAGCTCTTCAAATCAATAATTGACAACAGAGACGCTTCTCTTAGAAGTATGTTGTTGACCACAAAAGGATATATTTAAAATAAGTGATTTGGAAAGGCAAAGTTCATTCTTGAATAAAAACATGCTTCTCTCAAATCAAAGCCAGGTAGGGCCTACCAGTTCTCTGAAGCTATGGTGCATGTTACAATGTAAAGTTAGAAACAAAACTCCTTCAACTGAAATATTACTGAAAGGAAGGTTTTGTGGCTAGCAAATAAAACCTCCTTTGGAGACTTGTGGGCTGGCTGATCATTTTCTTGCTGTACCAGAGGGATTGACTGAAACACCTCATTCTTTGTAGCAGTATGTTGGCACTAAATGCTGAGTGAATATAAGAACTTGGTGATTGAGGGCCCCTCCAAGGGATGCCACAGCAGCCAAGCGCTCTTCTCTAAACACAAAGAGCTATTTCAGTGGTGCAAGATGACACACTTCTTCCTGCCACTGAAAACAGATTTTCATTGCAAAAACTACCTGAGCTTGACATTGTGAAATTACTTCCTTATGCTTTATGTACCATAAAAGAAGCGCAACTGAACTGGGAAGGATACATCCTCACCCAAGCTACATGCAGCAAACAGCTACAGGAGCCCAGAGCTTGGTAGCAGGAAATGTGTGGGAAAGCCATCTGGTGAAGCCACTTAGAAACAGTGTGAAAGTATTTTTTTTCATTCACTTCCTGACAAAGTAGTAATATGTTGCCTCATTATAGGAAGAGGTCTGCTTGTTATTATTTGTATTAGTAGCTCCTAGAAGCCCAAAGGTGGGGACAGGACTCTTGCTGTGTTAGATGCTGTGGGCACATGTAAGAGGAGACCTTTGTCTATACCTATTCCCCCCAAAAATTTTATAACTTAAAAGGACAGAAAGCATAGGATTTTCTTTTTCCAAATAAGGAACTGAAACAGATGGGAGAGACTGAAGGAACTGGAAACAGAACACATAATAATTCCCAAGCCTTGACTTTCTCAGCAAAACTGTACTTTGACTCCTATTCTTTATCTTTGAGCATTTATGGTGAGTGGTATGTACTTTGGCATACTGCTTGGAATGTGCTCTGCAGTTCTAGGTAAAATCGGCATTTAGCTTGGTGTGGACACACTGCTGAGAGTTACTACATGCTTTGATGTGCTGAGGCAGGGGGAGGGAAATCAAATCAACATGCAGAATGGATTTTAATCATCACTTAGCAAATTAAAAAATAAGGTTACTGTGGAGATCTTAAACTTGATCTTTGGCATCTGAATCGTGTCTTTCACTATGAGCTCCCAGTCCAGCCCACCTAATTTCCCCATGGTTTAATACTGCTATAACCCCGGGCAGTATCTCCATTCTGCTAAAAGCAGAGAACCACACAAAAGGCTGTATTTCAAGAGGAGGCAAAGTTCCTTATAGCCTACTTACTATTATTAGATATGTAAAGTTCTCCTATATTGTCTCATCCGAAGATATCAAATCATTTTATGGACCTTATTTTGGCCTCTTGGTGACTCTAAGGCAAGAGAGTTACCCCATTTTTAGAGACTGGAACAGACTTAAAATCCCCATCCCTGAGTTTTCCTTACTGGTCTTTGCCAGAATTTAGGATGGATTTTTTTTCCAGTCCCATACTTTAATTGCAAGTCAGAGATTTCCAGGTAGCTTTGCTATCCTTGTGTGGGCGTGTGGGACTGCGTGCTTGGCTGGTTAGCATTTGTGCCAGGTTTAGACTGGAAAGAACTATGTGCTTTGGTTGACCTTTCATCTCTGGGGAAGGCAGGGTTAACAAAATGTCCTAAAGCTTAGTAAGTTGATGAAAGAATATCACAGCAGCAGGAGGGAGGGGGTGGGGGTAAGATGAAGTAAATGGTGGATGTTGCCCTGCTTTGAGGTAAAAGGGGGCTGAAGCCCAGGCACCCTGGGAGGAGCAAACAGGACCACGTGGGCTGGCAGCTGGTGAGGCTGAGACTGTCATTTGACATACACAGCCTCTAGTGCCAAGGGAATACCTGCCCCAGGAGAGAGATGCTCAAGTACTGTGAAATTGGGCCATGAGGTGTTAATTGCTAAAAACTGTAGAAATTCAGATTTAAAGAGCTAGTACCTACTAGTATAGAGCTACTCGTACTAGAGAGCAACCTTTCTTTCTGTCCTGTGAGTGAAGCCTCCAGTAGTGTATACAGTGTCAGATGGGGCAGAGTGGAGGCTCTGAATAAGGCTTTTGTTGCCTTATCACAGAGTTCTCCTAACCCTCTCCTCCCAAACAACCCACTGTGACACAAAATGCAGGTGCAAAATGCAGACCCAGGAACACAAGGAGGATACCAGCAACACCTCAAAGTTCACAGAAACTGTAACAGCACTTCTTTGTAGGGTTTTTCCTCTCCTGGTGCTCAGTTCATGATCCTTAGCAAGACTCCAGCCTATGGCAATGCAGCTGTAGGCAAGCACATCCATGCAGCTGTGTTTGTCCTCTTTATTTATCAAAAGCCTAAGTAGTAACAGGAGCCAGAACCATGTGGGTGCAGGGTTTAAGCACCACCACTGCTTCAAGGATTATGTGCATAACCTCTTCAGAATAAGAGGCCAGACAAATAAGAGTGCAATTGCACTGTGGAGCAGCAAATGTGGAATACTAAGCACCCAGTAATCAAGTGCTAATATAAAGCTGAGATTTTAAAAAGCCTCAACCAAAGCCCTGGATGAAGGACAACAGACCTTTTCCAGCTCTATTTTGATTTGCCCAGATCCTCATGACTCTAGGAAGACTGTTTACACCCTTGCTAGCAAGCTTTAGGTAGGTGACAAACTCAATGAGCACTAAATTGTGCCTTGGCAAATATAACCTGTCTGCTTTTTCTGCATTGGAGAACAACAGCCGCCTTCTCCAAGTTGGGAGCAGGGCTGGAGCAGTGAGGGCAATACCAAGACTCAACTTTTTCCCAGATGTGGCAGTTCTGAAGTGGGTGGATGAAGACTACTTCTGGCAGTAATATAGGGAGTTAAGGGAACAAAACCTATGCTTGGACATTGCATACTGGTAGACCTAACCTGGTGGTTACACAAGGCTTAGCTGAGCTGCTCTCTGAGCATCTGGACTGCGAGGGGCTCCTGTAGCACAAGTGTCATGTGAGGATAATCCCATGTGTTTTAAAGCCCAAAGCAAGCTGTCTGGTTTTCCTCTCCTATCTTCTAGACTGGTCTTTGCGCTTATGCTGGCACCATAACAAATTTTACATTTCCCAGCCAGTGATGGAAATCATGCATACACAGAAAATCACTGAGGGTCACAAAATCTGATGGGAGCCAAGTTCTTAGCCCTGGATAAGAAACCTGACACAGCACAGGAGCTCTGCAAGGGCTTGGGTGGAATTTCTCATCCATGTTGTATGTGAAATATGTTCTGTCTAGAGAAGAGGTGAAAGATCTTCACTAGCTCATCTGCTAGGATAAACTTAGTGTTCCTGAGTTAAGGAAGTTGAGGGGGTAGCGTTTGTTTTTGGTGTTGTGGTGGTTTTTTTTTTTAAGCCTTGTTAAAAAACAAATCCACAGACTAAGTGGCTTTTTTTATACTTGACAAGAAAATGTATAGCAAGGTGAAAGATCTTCACTAGCTCATCTGCTAGGATAAACTTAGTGTTCCTGAGTTAAGGAAGTTGAGGGGGTAGCTTTGTTTTTGGTTTTGTGGTGGTTTTTTTTTTTTAAGCCTGTTAAAAAACAAATCCACAGACTAAGTGGCTTTTTTTATACTTGACAAGAAAATGTATAGCAGAATGAGGAATGATTTCCAAGTGCTAATACAGAGTGTTATACCCAAGACCTGCTCTTCTCACCTCCAGAGGCACAGGAAAACTGTATACCCAGTTCAAGTGAAGAGACCTGTACACTTGGCCCATTTCAGGTCCTTGTGTTGTGATCGAGGTTTCAGCTGTTCCTTTAGGCAATCCCTGTGTCAGCCCCAGAGACTCACCTCTGAGAGAATCTAGTTTGAAGTGTGCCCTTACAACATTAGATAGGCCTCTTCAGCATGAGTCTGTGATGTATGTTTTTGTTCTATGCTATTTTGGGGACAAGGAACTGGTGAGAAGAAAATGCTTTCATCTGCTGGAGTAACTGTGTTCTCAAGCATTAAAATTATGGTTTGTGCTAACTGTCCAGTGGGGAGAAAAAACCAAAGTTCTTAATTCTAGAAGACAGGTTAATTTCTGGGGGAGGAGGCAGATGCTGTTAAGTCTTTTGCTGTCAGAAAGAAACCCATGCTGGAAGAAGTACTCAGTCAATTAGGCTGATTTGTAGCAGCCTCACTATAAATCCTCTTTCATTCAGAGGCAAGTTAAGCTCTTTGAAACGTGCCATTCCAAGGAATTTCAGTAGGTTCTCACACATCTAACCATGGCAAAGTTATCTGCAGGGACACACCATCTTTAGAATGACATGGTATGTTCAATTCTACAACATTATAGCCAATGCATGTCAAAAAAGGGAGGCCAGCAAAAAGCCTTTCACCTCACTGTCACAGATCAGCCTTTTTCTTGCGTGCTACATTTGTTCAGCCTATTGTTAAATTAGAAACAGATTTTCTAAATCAGTTTTACATACAAAAACAGTTGAAATGTCTATACAGTAAATGACCACTCAACCCAGAAACAAAACGGTTTTGCCAGTGAAATGCAGCACTCATTAAAGGTGTAAAATTCAGTTTTATAGGGACACCTGTGTTAATCTGACCAGATGCAGAACCACTTTTTTTTCCTTAGAGGAAGCTTTCCCCCTCATTTACCTTGAAAGGTGGTTTATAGCTTAGCTGCAAGCCTTTCCCCTAACCATGGTGGCTGGGTGCCTGCCCTCACCGTGCCGCAGTGACTCACCCTGCTGAGCTGGTCCAGGAGTCTTTGGTTCTGTTCGGAGAGTTCCTGGACAGCCCGTGTCTTCTCACGGTCGGCTTCACGCAGGTGAACCTGCTGCCTCTCCAGCTCATCCTGCAGCTGTTTTACGTCACTTTCCAGTTCAGACACTCTTCCTTCCCATTCTCCTTCTCTGTTCTCAAATCGCCTCCTTAGTTCGTGTTTCTCTTGTTCTAGGTGCTAGATAACAGGGGAGAGAAGATGTTAAGAAGGGAGGAAAAAAGTGAACGCTGCCTCCTTTTCCTCCTCTATGCTTAGGGCTGAAACCTTTTATGCAGGAAAGAGAATGGTACTAGAGCATGACAATGCCATGGAGGTGGCAATCCCATGTCAGGGCAGGTCACTGGTGCTAAACTTGCTTTCCATTTTCAGCAATTAGCTTGTCCTTGGCTTCTGGAGATCAGCACATTGAATTTTTACTGAAACAACTGCCAAAAGAGTAAAGCAGGCTGCATGTCAATAGGCGGAACGCATAGATCAGGCAGGCCAATTGATTTGGCAGAGCCTAGATTAACTCTAAAGCAATATCTCAGTGGGCAGTGGCATAATTCTTTTAAAAATTGCCTTTATAGTCAAAACTACTCAAACTGTATCCTTACCGATGATGAGGAATCTAGATGAAGCGTCTTTCTTGTCACATGGGTCTTATGAACAACAGTTCGGTAATCTATCCATTTGCTCCTTCTATTCCTGACCTGATCAGTTGTCTGGTAGTTTGATAGTGCACAGTAACTATTGTTTGATGCAGTCTGTTCTGGAATGGCAATAGATGCAATGAAGTAGTTCCTATAGATACTACATACATGCGTGTTCTGGGCTGCAGGTGTTTTAGAAACCACTCTCAGTTCTGGAGACTGCTCTGCTTAGGACTAGCTGGGAAACGGACAGCATGAATCTGGTGGAACTTTTTCATGTTTTACAGGCTCTGTGAAATGAGGGCTTCACTGAAACAGAGCTGTGAATCAGGTCAAAACAGGTTTATGTTGTGCCTGTATGAAAGAACCCCAGCTCTGAAACTCTGTGCCATGTGCTTACTTGCAGAACAGTCACAGACTGGGGACATGGGCATGTCCCAAGATAAGTAGGGAAACCTGAAGAGCAGGAGCCCTCTCCTTATTGATTGTCTTCTGTCCCCCAAAAGAACCTGCTGCTACTCTCTATTGGATTCACCAGCCTTTTAGGAATGTATCTTAGCAAAGAACAGAAAGCCGCTGGGCCCAGCACTGACAGCACTGCCCCATTTTTTCCCAGGGTATCATCACCCAGTGAGCAATCCCCATGGCACTTATCATAGGAGGGGGAAATAAACTGGCTAGGAGGAAAAGAAAATTGTACTGCATTTATGCGAAGTGGCTTTTTATTGCTTGTGAGAAACCCAGGCTATGAGGTGGCTGTTTCCCCTGGGTGCCTACTGCCGATGACACACAGCCTCCCTTGCAGGGTCTCTGCCACATTCCTGAGCAGGTCTGAAAGTCAAAGCTCTCCACTTCTCCAGCTGCCCTCTGGGCCTGCATTATCACTGATCTTCCACCTCTTGCTCTGCAGAAGATACCATGTTTTTTTGTTTCTCGACCTTATCTCCAAATCCTTTCCTATGTTCCTTCCAGTTCAGTGTAACAGCACCCTGCTTGTGCCCTTCCAAATCTTTCTGCGTAGCCAGGACTTTCTGGAAAACCCTCAAATGTGAGGGAAGGCTGACTAAAAACACTGCCCCAAAGCAAAAGTATTTCCCTGTGTTTCAGACACAAATGAGAGCAAATGAGAGTGCTAAGTATTATGATATTTATTTTTAATGCAATAGGTAGGCATGAGATTCCAGCACCAGGCCCATGACAACCATTGCAAAGAAATCTCATTTGTAGCCTAAGTGTGGCTGGGGCAGCCACAATTTCACTTTTAGCGGCATGCTGAAAATGCTGTCTTTTATAGCTCTGTCTCCTTCACTGCTAGGCAACGTTTAGAAAGATCCAGGGCCTTCTCTAAATGGAAGATGAAACTTCAGCCTGCTGCGGAGCAGCACTGCAGCTGAAGTTCCCCAGACATACTCAAACGTGATTTAGAAGCCACCGATAAGCCTTGTCAATCATTTAAAAACCACTTTAGTCCTTTACTGCAAAAGAAAATCCACACAACATACAGCTCCAATAAATGGCCATCACATAGGTTGGAGTTAGAGGGAGGTGAAGAATATCAAGTTTATTCTGTTGTGATAGAGAGACCAGAACAGTGCAGTGGGGCACAGAGGGGCTGTTGCAAAGAGGGAGGATAAGCAAGACTGGACATGCTGACTGACTCCTCGTGCCTCTTCCTCTCCCAGAAGCTGTCTCCCCTCGCCTGCCCTCACCCCAGCACCTGTGCAGCTGCAGCTCTGGATAGGGTTGTTGGGGTTTTTTTATGTAGTGATGACAGGGCAAACTGCTGTCCTCAGTAGGGGAGTTACTTGTTTTCTAAGTGTCTCCTCATCTACCAGCTGCTCACTGATTTTCTTTTTTATGCAGAACTGCTTTCTAGACTATTTCTTCTGAAAACAGCTTCTCTTCAACTTAACTGAGCTGGGCTGGTCCTCATTTAAAGAGATGAGAACAAGGGGGAGTTTCCCAGGTGATAGAGGGTTCATTCTGTAAAATGCTTGGACATGGCAAGCTTCTCTGTGTCAGAGGAACAGAGGTATTAGCTGGTTTAATCCCTTACAGAGGATAAAACTGACTAGGTTCACATATCAGAATTTATTACAGGGCTTCAGTTCCACTAATAAAAATTAATTTGAATTCAGGCTGTGAAGTGAAAGAGTTGCTGGAGTAGGTGTATGGGAGGGATGGTGCCCTTTAGTAGTGAACCCACAAAACTAGAATGTATTTAGACTTGAGGCAAAGCACCAGAGGAGCAGGCCAGCATATTGGCTGTTGGGAAATGGGGAGGCTTCACTTGAGCTCTTGTAGTCAACTTTGAAAGTCTCTCCTCCTACATGCTACTTAAGCATCACTATATTGGGTGCAATTGTCACCAAGGATCTCACCTGCAACTTTGCTTCTGATCATCATCAGAAAGTTCTCAGCATAGGGAAGGAGGTAACAGATGTGGGTTGAAACTGAAAAGCTTAACGTGAAATTTTGTTCACTTCAGTGGCAACAGGAGGTGACCAGCATTTAATCTGTAGAGGCTAGGATTACCAGGCTTGTGTTGTAGAAGATTAATGTTTGTGCTGATTTTTTTTTGTGTGTGTATGTGAAGTAGCACCATCTTAGATGTGCCAAACCCAGCGGAAAAAATCTGACCCTTAAGTAGATAACACTAGCTCCTATCAGATGGGCAGCCTGAAAAGCAGGAATCTGTTACTCAACTGGAAAGTTAGAGCGATAGTTATGGGATGAAAAGATGTAAACAGTTGGCTGCATTTACTATCCCTTCATTCACCTTCTGAATGGGCTCGTAAGAGCAGAGGTAGACATTTGGGGGATGTTATTTAAAGTACTATAAACTCATAGTTTTTCCCCTCTCCTTTTGATCTTCACATTTTGCAAACAGCGAGTGGTATTTGAGACTCCTGAACTCCCCAACAAGCAGCTCAGTGAGTGCCTGAACTTGTGCATTTTTCCTTTAACAGTAGGAAAGGTTCTACTCTAACTCATCAGGAAAACCACGTCAGCACATACGTCTGTTCTTGCTTAAAGATCAACCTGAAAACATTGGCTTTGGCAGATTTTAATGCTCTGGGAAATTTTAATCTGATAAATAGTGCCACTAAACAACAGTTTGAGTAAATGTCACCTTCACTATTGTTTCTATCAGAATAGTAAATGCGGAGAGATTTCCCTGCGAAGAGGAGGGGATCAGCTAGCATAAAGTGCTAAGTTTAATAATAGAGAGGAATTTTGTCAGGAGAACAAAGGCCATACAGTAATTTCACAAATCCTCTTGAACTTGAGAGATGTAAGTCTGTGAGGAAGGAACACAGGAACATACAGGATTGTGGCAGAAAAGAACTGGTCTAGGGCTATGACTTGAAATTTGAATGTTAATCCAGTGCTGTTCAAACTCTCTCCAGAAAGGTGAGAGGCTTTTTCTCAGCATTGTAAGGAGCATTACTTGCTGGGAGAATTAAAATTTCAAGAGTATCTCTCAGAAAGAGGGGGGGTAAGAGTGGCTCTCTCACATAGTTGTGCAAGAGTTGTTCCAAAAGAAGCTGCCTGCACAAGTCTTTTTCTTTGTAATAGCTCTATTTCATCCTTAAAAATCAATAAATGGCTCAATCCACTGACTTCCTGGCAAACAGCTCTCTCCAGATACCTGTAGGTATTTTTCAGAGCAACGGGCTAACAGAGACGTATCATTAGGGCTTATCTCCTGCCATGCCTAGTGCCTTAGCTGCTACAGCTTAAGCATAAGGGTTACATATGCTCTGTAGCTCAGTACCTGCTGTATAAATTTAACTTCTGAGGCATTTCCGTGACAAGCCAAGCACAGTGCACGTCTCCTCGCCCAGGTGGTACCTGGGTCCTGGGGCATAACAGGACCCACAGGAACCTCTTGAAGCAAGGTATTGCAGCTCGTCCCCAGGCTGAGATGCCAGCTTGAAGCCAGGGAGGGGGAAGAACCACAGATTTGCCTCCCCCAGGCCTAAGAGGGTTTTCTTAGACCCTTTCTTCCTCGTCACGGCCACAGGGAGTTCCGTGAGCTGCCAGGCTGGGCCCCTGCCTGCCTGCCGCCCCCGGGATCTGTCGGGGAAGGGGCCGCTTTCCGCGGGGGAAGCC